ACGTGCAAGATTGAAACTAATCGTCAATGGCCGCTCAAAGATCAATCATCATTCTGTTTTCTGCTTTTTCTTCTCATTCCCTTCTCTTCCTCATACTTTCTCCTCTGCCTCCCCTTCTCTACATCTTCGTCCTCTTTCTTTTTCTTTTTCTTTTTCTCCTCCCCACCTCCTCCACTTTTCCCTCTTTACTATAATTCCCAGTCTTCTATTTTTCTGCCTATCGTTCGTAGTGCAGGGTTCTGCTGTAAGTATGGTATAGTATGGTGGTTTACAAATTAATAGTAAGTAGGTATAATATAACCCCACCAGGACATCACACAGAGCGATAAACACCCGGTGACACAAAGTGCCGCCATTCGGATGAGAACCATCCATGGAGACGTCCTTGAAACCGCCTTTAACCGTTAGGGTATATTGCGGCCCCTGGCAACAAACATCCGAGATGGGGCTTCACAATAACGAAAAATTGCGCCCCACTAGGGAACAACGTTGGCTAGACAAATTAATAGTTCATAAACCGCTGTATTATAAGTTAGAGTTCTGTCGGTCTGGACGGAAATCAAAAGGCTGGTGCGTTAGGTCGCGGTTGCAACCGGGAGATGTTTGTAAAATTTTTTTTTCGTTTGTTTGACGCTGAGTGTTTTGTTTGGCAGATTTGTTGAAGCTGCAGGATTTGGCTGCTGAGTGGGTTGAGGATTTAGGCCAGATTGTTAGCAAAACGTAGTCTCTTTCTTTCTTTCTTTCTTTCTTTCTTTCTTTCTTTCTTTCTTTCTTTCTTTCTTTCTTTCTTTCTTTCTTTCTTTCTTTCTTTCTTTCTTTCTGTCTGTCTGTCTATCTGTTTTTCTTTCTTTCTTTCTTTTTTTCTTTCTTTTTTTCTTTCTTTCTTTCGTTCTTCCTTCCTTTCTTTCTTTCTTTATTTCATTTTCTTCTTCTTCCTCTTCTTCTTTCTTCTACTTCCTCTTTTTTTTTATACTGCTGCTGCTACTTCATCTTCTTCTTCACTTCTCATTTCAGGCTGGGCCGACCAGGTAGCCAAAAACATTTAAAAATCTGACGACACGGATTCGAACCCTCTATTTTCGGACTGGCAAGCAAAGTGTCTAGCTACAACGACACCATTTTATATATGTATATATGTGTGTGTGTGTATGTGTGTGTGTGTGTGTGTTTATGCCTTAGATGTCTGCCACAAAAATTACATTAAAATAGTATGCGTAATCGTGCTGAAGGAAAATGATGAAGCCAGAGGAGCACTAGGTAGACAGACAATCGTACAAGTGGATGGAAAACTTTTATAGATGGGCGACCTCAGTCTCAGATAGTGTTTATTCTTTTCGAGAAACAGAGTGTGTTGGCGATAAGTTTGTTTATTAGTATGATAGTGAATCTGTTACAATGGTGTCAATTTTGTGCTACGGTGTTGTTAGCCGTGTCCGATGCCTCATTTTCTTGACAAATTCTGAAACACACGTGGACGACTGAAATGCATTTTAAAAAAGCTTGTTTGAGACTGTTTTGAGAATCGCGAAGACGACACCTCATTGGTTTACTTCACTGACTTTGTGGTTCTTCTTCTTCTGCTTTTGCTTTTAGAAAGGGAAGTGTAAATGATATGTAGGGGTGAACAGAGAGGCTGCGATTTTTGCGCCTTCCGGTCAAACACATTCAGTTTAAGCAAACCTCTTATTAGTTGAACTGAACTGACTTTCTACCCCACCAGGACATCACACAAGCGATAAACACCCGATGACACAACGTGCCACCATGCGGATGAGGATCGCCTTGGAGAGGTCCCAGAAACCGCGTTCAGACATTTGGCCATATGTATGGCCTGCCTATATTGCGGCCCCTGGCAAAAGCCAGAGTAGGGCTTCAAATGACAAAAAATTTCGTCCTAAAAAGGACGAAACTGGATATATCGACAACTTATTAGTTAGTCCCCATTTACGTGACATGTATGTTAAGTAGGAGCTACATGCTGTGGAAAGATTCGCAGAATACGATGGACGAAGAAGAGGGAAAAAGAATACTGAAGTGGTGAAAGATCTGAACATAAAGGAAGATTTGTTAGTAAACAAAAGTCTTGTCTCGGAAACTGAAATCTTGTTGCCATATTACGCGCTACTGTAGACTGAGTGGGGTGGGGGGGGGGGGAGGGAGGGGGGATTAGTAGTAAACATGGTGCCAGGAAAGAGAGGCAAGGGCCGACCAGCGCGAAGCTGGGCACAGGATATAAGTGATATACCTTTAGGGTGTCGGCGTCTGTGGCTTAGGCTTGCGAACGCGCTTCGTAATGCCGGGGTGCTAGGTTCGATCCCAGCTGCGTACAGTTTGTCTTACGTTGGTTTCGACAGTGGTACCGAGAGCTGACCTTTAAGTAAGCAATGGCAAACTACTGAACGTAAAATTTGCTTACAAAATCCACAACAGCAAAAAAAAAGAAATGCTGGAGTTGGTTCTGCAACGTCCGGTAAAGGATACGCAACTATCTTTACCTTTAGGGTAGGAAAGCTCACGAGGCGAGAAAGCTGGAGAGAAATCTAGCATCTTTCAGGCAGACCGTGACAGACCGTGGTGAGAACCAAAAGGGAGCTAAAGAACCCACTCAGGAAACTACGTAGCAAAAAATAAAACCTGTTTGAAGTGTACATCTCACACATTTTAAAAGATTCACCAACAATGATAGCCCACCAAACACCCACACACTGTTGTCCGCTGGTGCAAATATTGACAACGCTGGGCCAGTTAGTTCCGCTAGCCTTGAACGTTTCTTGACTGAAACAGCTTCCGGTCAGGATCGATTCTTTGTCTCTTAAGAAGTGAGTGATTACAGGAGCCGATCATTTACCGAAGAAAAACATCACCTGCCACTACTGGTGGTTTTTGTTTGAGTTTACCAAGTAATCTGTTTCAGTGGGGGTAAACTCTAAAGATATTGTCGCTATCATTTCGAAATGCTTGAAATAATGTCTTCTTTGTCTTGTTTGTCTTCTTGTTTTTCTTCTTCTTCTTGTCTTTCTTCTTCATCTTCTTCGTCTTCATTTTCTTCTTCTTCTTCTTCTTCTTCTTCTTCTTCTTCTTCTTCTTCTTCTTCTTCTTCTTCTTTTGCTGCTGCTGCTGCTTCACCTCCACCAGCTGTAAACTCGGGCGAAAAATTATGGTTGTTCGTTCATTTCTGAACTTGAGCCTTTTCCAGAAATTGAGTTTTGCATGCACATCCGTTTTACAGATCTGGCTTATTTGTAAGCAGACTGTTAGTACCTCACCTCTCAGGCAGATGCACTCCGACTTTGAAGGAATCACCCCTAATTAGTCGACTTTTATTACATGCTTGTTAAAGGGCAGTGGGTCCCCCCCCCCTCCCCCTCACCCCCTCCCCCAATGGCGCATTGAAAGGCACACATATTTTCTCTGTCGTTATTTCATTCTTTCGTTCATTAATTCCGTTTTTGTTTGTGGTTCCGACTGTTTTTCTTTCGTTCTCGCCCCTTTCTTTCTAAACGGGGTCTTCCCCGTGTGGGTTCCGGGGCTCCATAGTGGGAGAAACAAGAACAGACCCACTGCCTTCCCAAAAGCATGTCGTAGGAGTCGACTAATTGGAAGCTTCGTTCAAAGTCGGAGTACATTTGCCGGAGAGGCGAGAAACCAACAGTCTGCATACAGATGAGTCTAAACTGTCTAACGAAAGTGCACGGAACACTCAGATTCTGGAACAGGTCTAGAAGTGGACGAACAACCAGAATTTTCCACCGGAGTTTACAACAGGTAAATAGCCAAGGAAAAAAGAAAGTAAGGGAAGAAATGGGGTCTGCAAAATCTCTTGGAAAGTAAAGGTAGTTAACACGATGTTGTCCCCATCACTCTTCAAGATCTGACTGCTTTATATAATATGTTTTGGCACCATATGCATAAGGCGCCGCTGCGAGACAGCATCCCTTACTGCAGTCAAAATGGTTCACCCCCACCCCCACCCTCCTTTCACCCCTGCCGTATGTGTCACATTTTGTGTTGTCTTAGCCACACACAACAGTTGATTAAAGTCATTTAATAAAAATTATTGCACAAAATTTCATTTCTATGGGCCGGAGGTGTGCTTGCAAAGGGCCGCGCGTGGCCCGTGGGCTGCCAGTTTGGTCTGTCCGTTTTACTGACTTTACAGTCTTAGATAAAAGCCAAATATGTTACAAGGAATGGTGTTTATACTCGTCTGGTTGTGAAATCACCATGAAATCTGTTATTGCCTTTCTGGTAAATGTACTGGCTTGAAAGTGGTTTTTACAGAGAAGGAAATGTCTAGATTCGGGTTTATGGAATGAGACGCTAGGTTAGCTCCAGGAGATAAAGATACCAGACTGGGGTAATTTATGTTTGGGGGATCGTAAATTTGTAAGATTGGGCTGGGGTTTCTCTCTTAGGTTAGTTACCTGGTTTACCATGATACTTTAAGATTTATTTGGGTCTTTTCTCTCTCTCCGCCTTTCTTTGTCTCTCTGCCTCTTTCTGTGCTTCTGTTTCTCTCTTTGCCCTCTCTCTCTCTCTGTCTCATTCTTTGTCTCTCTCTGCCTCTCTCTCTCTCCTTCTCTCTCTCTCTCTCTCTCTCTCTATCTCTCTCTCTCTCCCCTTCTCGTCCGCCCATACATCCATCCAACTATAATTCCACCAATCCTCACAACCAACCACCCACGATTCCAGCCCACCCATCACTCCCACTCACCTATCCACTCACCCATCCACCCCTTGGTCTGTCTGTCTTTCTTTCTTTTCTCTTCTTTCTTCTCTTTTCTCTTTTTTCTTTCTCCTCTCATCTCTTTCTCTCAAATTCCATGCCTCTTCTTTCTATCCCTCTGTCTTTTCCTCTTTCACTCTTTCTGTTTATCTTTGCCTGAACAGTTCTTATGTATACTTTTTACTCAATTTCAGAACACCTTAAACTGGCAATGCAAGAAGCCCACAACAAGACAGCAGACACCCTTGCTACGCTGTACAAAATCCCCAAGGAGGTCCACAGTGGGACCCTGGACGTCTTCTTCCAACAGCTCAGCCGTTATCTGTTGGGGAGCAACGACTTAAGCCTTACCAACATCATCGATAACTTTTTCGTGACCCTTTTCCCCTTAGTCTTTGACTATGTGCTCAGCGATCCATCGAAACCTAAAATAGCTAACGACGACTTTCATAACTGTCTGACAGAAAACTACAGAAGTATCCAACCATTTGGTAACGCTCCCAAGCATCTGGGAACGAAAATCCAGTACGCTTTTAGAAGAGCCCGGATTTTCACAGAGACTTTGCAAGTGATGATCAGTACAATAGACTCCACTGATAACATCGCCGTAGACAACGAATGCAGAAAAGCCATTACTCGTCTGCAGTTTTGTTCTTTGTGCAGTGGAGAGGTGGAGACGAAGCCCTGTCGAGGGTTCTGTTTGAATGTTATGAGGGGTTGCTTGGCAGGTGTTTCTGAAATATCATCTTCCTGGGACGAGCTAGTGGTGGCCTTTGAAAATCTTCACCTGGGGATGTTCAAGCAGAACAACGCACAAGAGTTGTTGTCTTACTTAGATGGCAACATCACGGATGCCTTACTACAGGCCATGGATGATGGGCCTATAATCTATTCACGAGTAAGTACGAGTGTTTGTCTCTCTGTCATCTCCTTGCTATTTTCCCTATCAGGTTTATCAGATGTCAACAACTTTTCGAATGCATTCCTTCTGGTGACAGGTCTAGAATATCTTGACTTTCTGCGTCTAAACTCCCTAATCAAATTAGACTTTTCCTCTGTCTCTTAGAGAACTAGCTCAAATACTGCGACCCCCCACTGAGCTGTGACTTTCACTAAGGTACGACCTTCACTGTGATGTGACATTTTCTGTGCTGTGACTTTCACTGTGCTACGACCATTAATGTGCTTTCATACTGACTGTCACATACCGCTCGTGTCGCATGCCTGATTTAAGGATTTCTCCTTAAGAATCAACAGCACTCTGAAATAAATAATGTTGAGGCGTCGGCTCGAATTGGTCTAAGGGATATCCCGTGGCCAATATGCGCTCAACTTATTTCAGGAGTAGGGCAACTCAAGTTCTGGCACTACAGAATATCTAGTAATCTTAGGCACAACTTGGCTGGACACCCCCACTACTATAAAAAGATAGACCCCAGACTATGATAGTGTACTATCATAGCCATGTTAACACAGATTACACTTACTAATCACAAAATCATAAAAGCTAGACAGTTAGAATAGTGAAACAGGGACACACAAGTCAGCCATGAAAGTTTCTGAATGAATGTAATAATTGAAAAATATATATATATATATATATATATATATATATATATATATATATATATATATATATATATATATATATATATATATATATATATATAAGGGCTGTACCGAATAGTGATTTTCACTATTCGGCCAAATACGAATAGCTGGACCAACTATTTGACCGAATACGAATATTGAATCATCATCATCGGGCGATTATGCCTCGCCACAATCTGCGATCTCCTGCAGCATGTATTAGTTTGTGTGCTGACACACCTCCACGCCATGCAACAAGACTGTCAAGAATCTTATCTCGTTCTTTCTCTATCTCTCCTTCCATAGATCTTTCCAGTGGTCACCACTTGTTCCATCTTCCCTCATCTTATAACATGGCCGAAAAATAATGACTGTCTCCTTCTGATGTCTGTGAGTATTTGTATTCGGGATCCCGCCTCTTTCAAAACCTCTTGGTTACCTTTTTTTTTTTTTTTGGCTGTCCAAGGTATTTTAAGCATTGTTCTGTAAAACCACATCTCTGAGGCCTCAATAAATTGTTTGGCCTGACTACCGATTGTCCAGGACTTAGAGCCATATGTTAAAACTATATATACGTAGCAAGCAAGAATTCTTTTTCTAACCTTCAATGACAAAGATATATTTCATACGATGTTCTTCATTTTATAAAATGCAGTTTTTGCTTGTCATATTCTGTTTCTTATTTCAGTAATGCATCTTCCTTCTGATGTTATCCATGTGCCCACCAGATACTTAATTTTCTGTACTTGTCCCAAAATAAAACAATTGACTTTTATTACACATTTAGGAATAATTATTGTCTTTGATACCACTATTACTTCTGTCTTCCCACTATTCAAACTGAGGCCCATTCGTCCACTTTCGTAAATAAAATAGATCTTAGAAAAACATTCATAATGTCAAATGTACGCTGAAATGTTACTTCGCAAAATGTGGTCCAGAATAGTAAATATTTAAAAACATTTCATGTTTTGCATCCTTCAGTCAGTCAGTCTGTGGTAACTAATACCTAGAAATGAAAGTATTCTTAGTTTTAAAACAAGTAACTAAACTTGTAAATTGTCACTAACAGCTTAGTTAATCCATGAAAGCGGCATTAGCTTTCGAAAAAAAAATCGTTCCATGTTTTCAGCATTAAGGCAGCTTCTTGTCTCACTGAAGGTATTTCCAGCTGGACTAAATAGACTTTTACTTGGTACGCTCGTAGTTGGTGCACAAAGGTAACGCTGGACAGTATGAACCAAGGTATAAAATCTTGACATGTTTATTTGCCACCAGTCCAGAAACGGGTGTAAGGTAACCACTATTCGTATTCGGCCCGACCGCAACTATTCGGCCGAATACCGAATAGTTGTTAGGTCCACTATTCGGCCCCGAAGCGAATACGAAGCGAATATTCGGTACAGCCCTAATATATATATATATAAGCCACGGACGCCGTGTTCCTCATTGCACGGCCTTTCAACAACGTTTGCTCAGTGGTCCGCAATGTATAAAATGGGGACAGACAAGGGTCATACATCTGAGCCACAGAGATAGAAAGATCATTAAAACGACACAACTGGTAATGCCTTGCGGGCTACTTGCTAGGTTTCCTTTAGGCTAGATTTTTGCCAGCGGACCGCCAGTTAAATAACCTCTTGTGTTAATGTATTGTGTCTATGTATTATTTTATATTGGGAATCAAGTCTCCGCCAACAACGGAATGCAGGTTAAAGTTCGTAACAGCAGAGTATCCCGATATAACTGATCTGGACAGTTGAACGGCTTTTTCCGGGGAGTTGTAACAGTTTCATTCTCGTCCACGATGGTAGATGTTACTGTTACATAATATATTCCTAAAACAAATGTCGTGTGTGGTTGGACGTGGTAGGGGGGGGGGGGTGATATTCCAGTTCCTGCCTTGGTTATGATTGTGGATTTGGTTTATTTTTGCCACGTTTAAATAATGGCTCAGATTGGATTTTTGGTGTTATTGGCCTAGACTTCTGTCTTTCTCTCTGTCTCTCTCTTTCTCTCTCTTTTCTCTCTCTCTCACTCTATCTCTCTCTCACTCTATCTCTCTTCTTCTTCTCTCTCTCTCTGTCTCTCTCTCTTTCTCTCTTTCTATCTTTCTCTCTCTCTTCTCTCTCTCTCTCTCTCTCTCTCTCTCTCTCTCTTTCTCTCTCTCTTTCTCTCTTTCTCTCTCTTCTTCTTCTTCTTCTTCTACTCTCTCTCTCTCTCTCTCTCTCTCTCTGTGTGTCAGTCTGTCTGTCTGTGTTTATCTATCTGTGTTTAGTATTCTCCATCCTTGTATGTCTGGGTCCTTTGTGTGAGCCTTCTTCAACAAGTTGCTTCTGATTGTTTTCTCATTTTCTGCCTCTGATTCTGTAAACTAAATATCAAGTTTCGCTCTTCATGTCCTCTTTTATGGTTTGGCGTCATCCGTTGCTGGTTCAGTAATCATCGTTTCCTCGTGGTCTCGATCGACTGATCGGTCAGTTGGATGCCTCCATCCTGCTACCATCCATCTGGCCGTCCATCTACCCATCAATACATCCATCCATCTATCCATCTATATATCCATCCAATCATCTATATATTTATCTATCTCTCCATCCATCCATATGTCCAAATCTATATATCCATTCATCCATATATCCATTCATCTACCCATCCATGCATCTATGAAAAACAAAACAACAAATCGACCATGTTTAATCTACTGCGAGCAGTATCGGCTATAACTGTGGTCTGGTTTCTTTGTGCCAATTATGTCGGCTAAGAAATGTTAATTTCACCAAAACTCTTCCCTTGGATCGGTTCTATAGAACCTAGTGAGGGTTGTTGGAAAGGGCTATGTTCTGGACGGCAGACCGACAAGTAAAGTAAGTAAGTAAAGGACCCTTTCCACGCCTTTAGGCGTATAGGGCATATAGGGCTAGACCTATATTTTTTTATAGACCAACGGCACAAGATGGGTGATGTGGTCAGCATCACGCCGGCCGCCTCTACTTCCTGGGATTGCACCCGGTACGCACTCAAGGCTGGGTCGACCTGGGAGCCAAGGTCATTTTTGAAGAAAAGTCCATCTCAGACCGACAAGGCAGCTGCCAAATACACCGTTTAGCCTCCAGAGGTTTTTATTACGACACTCTTGAAGACTACATCAGCCAGATCTAACCTGCAGTCTTGTGCGGCTAACGACCCGTGATGTAGTTTCTCTGCTTTGGTACTTCCAACCTTCAACTCTTCCCTTCCAGATTTCTATCAGCACTTACTTCTCCACCCTATTTGTGTTTTTAAACCTGTTTATCCTACCCCCATCCCCTCTCTCCAAATCCCTATTGAAAGGTTTCTCCTCTATTCCTTTAACCATATACTTCCACTTTATCCGTTCTTTCGCGGTCTCTCGATCCAGGTCTCTCCATGATTCGATTACCCGGAGATCCCGTCTTCAGCAATGGGCAGATAAATCAGATTACCAGAATGCTGGCTCAACAGTTCATTCTCTCCGTTTCCCTACGAACGTTGCATAATTTCAATTTTCTCAGAATTGAAACTGGAGAGCGACCATCTATATCTGTCTTTCTTCTCCTCTATATAGGTTCTCCAATCTAGTCTTTGTCCGTTCTCCTTCTCCTGTGTGTCCGTTCTCCTTCTCCTCTATGTCCGTTCTCTGTCTCCTCTATGTAAGTTCTCCTTCTCCTCTATGTCTGTTCTCTTTCTCCTCCAAATCTGTTCTACTTCTCCTCTATGTCCGTTTTCATTCTCATCTATATCTGTTCTCCTTGTCCTCTATATCTGTTCTCCTTGTCCCGTCCTCTATATCTGTTTTACTTCTCCTCTATATCTGTTCTCCTTCTCCACTATATCTGTTCTCCTTCTCCTCAATATCTGTTCTCCATCTCCTCTATATCTGTCCTCCTTCTCCTCTATATCTGTTCTCCTTCTCATCTATATCTGTTTTACTTCTCCTCTATATCTGTTCTCCTTCTCCTCTATATCTGTTCTCCTTCTCCTCTATATCTGTTCTCCTTGTCCTCTCTCTATATATATATATGTTCTCCTTTTCTCTATCTGTTCTCCTTCTTCTCCTATCTGTCCTCCTTCTCCTCTATATCTGTTCTCCATCTCCTCTATATCTGTTTTACTTCTCCTCTATATCTGTTCTCATTCTCCACTATATCTGTTCTCCTTCTCCTCAATATCTGTCCTCCTTCTCTTCTATATCTGTTCTCCTTGTCCTCTATATCTGGTCTCCTTGTCCTCTATATCTGTCCTATATATCTGTCCTCCTTGTCCTCTATATCTGTTCTCCTTGTCCTC